TTTATTATAATTTTAAACCAATCTGTATATGCTTCACAGCATGCCGTGCAATATTTATGGTGATTATTATACCAAATAAGAGCATAAATTTAGTGCGCCATATGAATACTAAAATACAGGGATATTTTTAATTTGTCTGCATTAGCACCATGCATTAAAGAGTCATTCAAAGATTATCTATTTAGTACAAAACTGTTACTACTGTTGAGCAATAACCAGTCACATATTATTTAATTATACATAGATGTATGAAAGTGTTTTATTGCCTATCAATTAAAGCGTAATTATTCATACTGTGTGAAATTTGTTCATACGGCGACATTTTTTTTTCGTTATAACTTGCTACTCCTTAAAAATACCTCAATATAATATATTCTCCTAGATTGGAATTCTATAGCATAACATAAACCTAATGGTTGTATCTTAGCATTTCGTAGTCCAAATTGAGAGCGTTAAGTTATATTTAAGCTATATAACTAGCTTGCTGGTTTTATTCGGTACAGCGAATCAAAACAAAACAAAAACCATGACCACCTGTCAAAAAGTCAACATTCCAAGCGATCCTCCTATTTTCGCTTGTAATCAAGATGTAAGAAATGCTTATTGGATCCACTAAAAGCTTTTTCAATACAAGGTTTGAAGCCGTGATGTCAATACTGGCCATCTCCAAACGGATTTAGTGAAACTGTCGGCGTTGCTTTAAGAAGGGTTCGTGGATCTTTCGGAAGTGTATCGGAAAGCCGCTTGTTCAATATTTTTAAGAGCTCCTTCATCGCACTGTGCCTTATGTAGGGATCGTATAACTGTAGTTCCTCCAGGAGTTTCATATTGTCGATCGTCTCATCTTCATCGTGTTCAGAAGCACTGAAGGGGTTTTCATTTCATATAGGGTAAATGTCGGCTTCGGCACCCATTGACTGTTTTCGGCAATCAAAATTTAAACGTTAATTTCACTATGTTTTACCATCAACACACTTCCCTGAATGTATCCAAATGATTCTTTAGTCTTTCAGCTTCAATCTGATTATATTTGTAGGACCGAGCAATCCTTTTATGCCAGATTTTTCTTCAAATGAAGCATACGTAATACAAAATGGGGCTGATTTCGAGTTGCCGATAATAGAACAGCTGGTTAACACGCAGTTCTAATGGGAAGGTTGCCGAAGAAAAAGAGGCTGCCGACAATAGTCACACTCACCTGAGAAGTTTAGAGCGTTGTAAAAACGCTTTCAAACAGTTTTGAAGAATTCTGTCGATTGGAATGGATAGAGAAGCAAGCAGCAGATGAATTGAAACAAACAGACACGTCATATATGTGCGTGACGCTGTGAAAATGCTAATAGAAGTGCGGACGCTGCTTAGATTGACGAGAATACGTAAATTCCCCTATCTGAATAGATTTGTTTTTATAATGACAAAAAATTTCAGAGTATTTTTTGTTGTAGCAGTATATTTCTTATCTGTGAATCTTAGGCCTTTGATAAAGATGATAGTTGTAATGAAGCTTTAATGAAGGTCTAAGACTGCTTCAAGTTTTATATCGGTCATAAAAAGTGTACCATAAAACATAATTGTATGTTTTGTTTTGGTTTTATTCTTCAGTTATAAGTAGTGATGCAGAACCACCTTACAGCTACCGTTAAAACTATGAAGTCTGAGTTTTAATTTAGTAGTCATAAAACAGTTTTATAGACGACTTGACGGCCTGATTTTATGACAAGCACACAAAACCGTAATACAACCACAGGCTGGAAGGGATGCTATGATAAAACAATGATAAAATAAGAATAAATCTTCCAAACATTTAGATTGTTACTTGGGATTGATTGAATTCTACTCCGTTATTCGGACTTAATATAATTTTGACGAAAATTTAAATCGAACCAATGTATAAATTTTGAAAAACCATAAAATGCATAAAATATAATCTATATTCGTTTTGTAATATTTTTGAGTGTACAGCCCTCGCACCAGATCGCCCCCACACTCAAAAAATATTGAAATCTAAATAGTATAAAAGTTACGCTAAATCGCAACTCTCCGTACCGACGCAAAGGTCGGTATAAAGTGAGAGAATGCAAACTTAGTATAAAAATGGTTTATGCGTGCCATAGTATAAAATCGAAATATACTTACAATGAATAGATACGGTTTATTCGAGAGAATGTATGTTTCGCTTCTTTATTTTATTTATGGTTAATATTATTGTTTTCAAATTAAAATTAAAATTGTCTCAGGAGGGGTTTTTAATAATTTTATTTTTATGAATATTATTTGAAAAATACTTACAATTTCGATGTTCATTATGATGAACTCGTGCTCACGCATGCTAGCTGCCTAGCAGATCACAGGCGCAGTAGTAATCCGCCGGGACGAAGCTCTTCACCAGCACGAAGCTCCGAAGAGAACCCAGATGTTCTTTATCCCATCATTTTAGTAAACACTGATCGAATTCCACTCCGTTATTCGGACTTAGTATAATTTTGACGAAAATTTTAATCTTACCAATGTATAAATTTTGAAAAACCATAAAATGCATACAATTTAATCTATATTCGTTTTGTAATATTTTTGAGTGCACTTTGAATCGGCCGTTATTTATCTACAATGTACTAATGTACTGACCCTACTAACCACATCATTATTTTAAACAACACAACTTTGAACTTTGAAACAAGCAGATTTAACACAAACCAGGAAACATCGTATTTTCCCCATTTGAAATTCAGCCAATTCATTGTCACTAGTGTTCTTAAAATATTTAATACTGAAAATTACTTTCGCCTGCGACTCTAAGAAACCACCTACCAACAAATTACCAACGCTTTGCAACATTTGGTTGAATAATGACAGAATAAGGCCATTTAACAGAATAATATTTCACCGAATTGTGCACACTAATCCAGCATTTAGTTGTTCGGTATTTTTTTTGTACTGGGCTTACACCGTAAAACGAAAGTTTTACTGAAAATTCAGTTTAAATCAGGTGAATAACCGACGTTCTGTAAAACACAAACTGAACTTCGGTATCGTTTGATGCAAAATACAGTACTCAGAATATTTATTTACTGAGAAAGTCGTCAATTTCCAAATTTTCGTGATTTCACGAAGTCAGTAAAACTAATTACTGTGCACAAAGTAGTCTTTATGTTTTACCGACCGGTCAGCAAAATAGCCACCTTGTTTTACCGACCACGAATTGTAAAACTCTAACCTGTCAATTTTATTCCCGCCGCCATTTTAGCATCAGTAAAATCCGGGAGCAAGTGTTTAATCGCGCAGTTTTGTTAAAATTTGAATTATATAATGACGGAACTGAGAAAGCTCGACAGCGAAATTGAAGAACTATTTCGTTAGCACCAACAATTATTATTTACTTTTTTACTTATTTACTTTTTAATATTTTACTGACTCCAGTAATCTAAAGTTAGTGTGTACATCGCACACATAAATCTGAGGAACGTGTATGGAAACTGGTACCAGCATTTAGCGACTTTTGTAAGAACAAAAGAAATTATGGAATCAAGGTATATATTGAAATGTACATCTAGACCACATGATTTTCCCCAGAAAAACAACCCTTAGAAGTGTTCAATTGAGGAAGCTTATCCTAGAACGTCTCAACGTTTCAAAAACAAATAAGAGATCTTTAGGCTGAGCTTTTCTTCCGTCAAATAATGTCCATTTTCAAGGCTCGTGCAAATACTTAAACCCTTTGCGACCACACAATGTATACTTCCACCGTTTGTCATGGTAATATAACACGTCATCAGAGTGGCCAACAGCCTGTGTGAAAAATAGATTATTCGCATCATCACATTGTCGTCACCGTCGTCGTCGTCGTCGCGTGGCGGTCTCAATCTTAAAAGGCGTGTAATAGCTCGATTTAAGCGAGGGCGAACAAAAAGTAGCAGCGCCGTTCAATTCAATTCAATCCAATTCAATCGCTGACCATCCGCTCATCCGCCCATTCAACCGTTCAGCTACGAGGAGCGCGCTAGTGGCAGAAGAACGATGATGGTTTCGCCGGTCATGCCAACTTTCCATGCACTTCCAAATCCGTTTTAATGGTCTCCATCGGACCGTTAAATTTATTGTTTACACACTGTTTTATAGACACCACTGCTAGCGAAACGTTGGGTGTGGGGGGGGGGGTTTGCGAAACCCAAACAAAATCTATCTACTACTGTAAGGAACCTTGCCGGACCGAAGCATTCTCTCGGCCCGTCGTGGATATAGAGGCAGCTGAAAGCTTCCTTTCGTCGCCATTCGACTTGAAGTCACGGTCGGAGGAGGTGAAATCGATTAATAATTCATATCATGTTCGCGGGGAAGAGGTTACTGTACGAAGAATGCATCCCGCTTAGTATGTCATTCGGACAAAGAACTGGCCCATTTCGGGATGGTCTTTGTCTATTTTTATTGGATTTATATTTTTATATTTTGATGGTGTAAGCAATCCTTACGGGCGAGTCGAGTCAACGAACTGCGACCAAGAATCTTCTATTCCGCAATGTAACCAATTTTGAACATTACCAGCAGTCTACCATTGGTCAAGACGGCGATCATACGATGTCATATCGCTGTCAGTTTTGAATTTGACCACGCAGCGAGTTCCAAAAAAAAAAGTTCAAATATAGCAAACATTTGTTTTGTTTTGTTTTACCCGAGCCCTGCTGTCTGCGAGGTAAAAATGCTCACTGTGGCATATTGCACCTGCTTAAATCAGCCATGAAAACTCGAAAACCACGAGACAAAGAACGTGTTGGAATGAACGCTAGTAGAGTGACCCCAACCCATGGTCGATAAGATTCCTCATCATAGCCAATTAGCGAGTCGTTTAAAGATTTTCGTCAACTCTAATCGTCTAATTGGGCGACGACCGCTGTTACCCTCAGAAGTACCTCTTGACCATGTGTTAATTTGATTAGATCTCTGTAGGTCGCCAAAAGCGTTAACACTCAAAACTAACTTCTCCATTTTCTCGCTCTCCTTCACAGATACCATGAATGACTAATCGTGAGCCGTAAAGTGACACTAGTTGTGCGTCAATCCTTGGAAGGCGGACGCAAACCATATATCTAAATGTTTTTTTCATTGGCTGTGGAATACTAAATGTTACGAACCATGAGAAAGAGACTTAAGCCATTATCAACGAATTGAAGTTAGCGAAAAAAGCAATTTATAATTACGAGAAAGAAACCGACTACATCAACATAGAAAAAAAAAGAATAGTATAACGAAGCACCGCCATCATCAGCCATGGCAGCTGTAGTGTACGGCAGCAGCCCCCGGCACAGCAGCCGCCACCACCATCCGGGCCCGGGGCAAAGTCATCTGGTGACACCCCACTCGCCCTACCATCAGCATCAGCAGCAGCAGCAGCATCATCATTCACTGCCATCGCACCACCATGTGGCCGCTTCCTCGATGACGGCAGCAGCGGCTGCCGCGGCGGCCCTTTCGCAGCAGATCATCACTCCACCGACGTCGTATCTGTCCACGTCGACGACTACGATTTCGTCGTCTTCGCAACAGCAGACGACCTACTATCTGCAACAGCAGCAGCAGCATCAGCAACTACAGCACCAACAGGCGGTGCACTACCATAATATGCGCAATTCGAAACGGAAGTCGGCGGTGGAACTGCTAGCGGAGAGCAAACCGTTCTACGTCAAATCGGAAATGGTGCTGGATCGGCAGCAGCAGCTCAATATGCGTGGCGGGAACTCCGGACCGGTGTCTGGATCGTGTGAGTAGACGTTTGGATACTGTTGATTGAATTAGCGGGAGGAGGGTATCATAGCTTACTTGGTATCAACTATACTGCCTATAAGTGTCATAGATATGGATGATAAACCGATATGCATTCAGGATGGTATTCACTACAGACTGGTCCAGTATAAGAGAGGAGTTTTTTTCTGGGTGATTTCTAGCAACACTGTCAATGCACTCAAGATCAGGGATGGCAGATGGAATGACAGATTTGCATTTCTGTGAAGATATTTCATATTTTGTGAAGACTTTTGAAGATTCTATGAGCATTCTGAAGGCATTTTGTAAAGAAAGCATGATTTTACGGGAATTTTAGAAAAAAAAATCAAAACATTTAGGGAATGTTCAAAGTGTTTTCATGTTACTTCATACGCAAAGTTTGCGATTTTCAGAGTTGGTTGGAAATGCTATCTACCATGAAGCTTTTAATGTGATAATTTATTAGCTAGAGAATGGTCTGAGAAGAGGGTAGGTAGACAGTTCCGTTAGAGTACGGCAGTATGAAAATTGAAAAGAAGTTGAAAATGAGCGAAGGGCCATTAATGCGACAGTGCGACATACGTTGGTCATGACGAAGCATTGCATTATAACACACCATCGACTGGAAATGCTTTCGGCAATGTGGGGCTTTAGGTAGTGATGAAACGTCGCTAGAACTATTCCACAGCCGCAGGCAGTATTTGAGCAAAGTCAGGTGCACACTTTTTGCCTGTAGATTTGAAGACATACTTCAAATCTCCGCGTACATCGTACGGGTTAGGCAAAGAGTGTGCGTTTGACTTGCACTGTTGCATTAATGGCCCTTCGCTCATATTCAACTTCTATTCAATTTTCATACTGCCGTACTCTAAGGGAACATGCATAAATGACGTAGCATTTGAGGGGGGAGGTGGGGGTTTCAGAATTTGTGACCGGCCATGTATTGGATATAGCCAAATACGCTACGAGGGGGGAGGAGGGGTCTAAAATTGATCAAAAATATGCTACGTCATTTATGGATGCTCCCTAACGGCACTATTTACCTACCCTTTCATAAGACCATTCTCTAGCTAATAAATTATCACACTACAAGCTTCATGTTAGATAGCATTTCCAACCAACTCTGATTTAGGGAATGGTTTGAAAAATTGAAGGGGAACTTGAGGAGAATTTTGGGTGCATCTCATGGAGAACTTCAAGAGAATCCTGAAGAGAACTTCAAGAAAATTCGGACTAGAATTTCAAGATAAATTTGAGGATAATTCTAATACAAATGAATTGAATTAAATCCTTGCATGTTCTTAGGAGAAGTAAGGTAGTTTTGAGTAGAACTTCAAGATAATTCTGTTGATTACTCGATGGAAATGTTGAGGTTAATTCCAGAAGAATTCTAAAGAATATGCCATAGTAATTAAACAGTGAACTCTTAATTAGAATTCTATATAAAATTTCTTGGAATTTCCCTCAGTGTTTTTTAAGTATTCTCTCAAAGATTCCTACCTTTGATTTCTGCTCAGGAATTCTTTGAAATGTTCCTCGAAATTCTCATGGAACGCCTCTTTTAAGTTCCATTGAAATTCCTTTAGAAATTGCGTTAAAATACATCGATTGGACAGATCCTACACACTGCAAGAAGAGTGATCAATCTTGACATAAATTCATGCTAAACAAGTTGAAAATACTGACTGATTATAAGAAAAAGTTACTTGGCCTTAAAAAAGGAGACTTTCTAGTGACTGGCTTGAAAAAAGTGATCAAGTCGCTAAAAAGTGACTCGCTACCAGCTCTGAACAGTACATAGATCATCGATCAAAGGAGACATCGACTTGTAGAAATATCGACTTACATGGGAAATGAAGGGACCGCAGAATCCATCGAGTTGTGGAAAGTTGACTGTATTTGCAAAATTCGTGTTTATCCCAGTAGCGTTCACAGACTTCGAAAAGTTTCTATGAAATTTAAAATATCAGAGATTTTGAAAAACTTTAGAAATCGCACACATAAATGGATGTAAATTCTAGTAAGAGCCTACATGGATTATTTGAAAACTAAAAAATGTTTCAAGATTGAAAATTTCAGGAAATTTATTACCAGCTGTACTCAGAGTTAATATTTTATGCAGTGAGTAAATTTGAGTAACTCATGATTATTCAAAATTGATCAGAGTAGTCGTACACGAGGTCGTACATTCATCGACAAATATAAAATAAAAACTGTTTGAATAAACATCAACTGTCAGAGTGATCTTTTTCAAATTATTTTATTATAATGATACAAATACTCCAGTCCAATTTAATTCATTTACAGCCCATTACCCTTATCAGGGTGTCGGCTCAATGAAGCAAACCAAATTCCCTGAAATTCCCTGATTTTCCAGTAATTTTCGAAAAAAATCCAGGTACGGTGTCTACATGGTTTTATCCACACAACCTCATCAGCTATTACTTTCCTCAGATATGTACTACCCAACAAACAATTCTAGCTGCAGACCAACCTATACAGGCACAAATTAGCTGCATAAGGAAATTTTTGGCTTTATTAGGTAGTCTGCAGCCAAAATTGTTAGTTGGGTAGTGCTTTCTGGACATTTTTTCATGGACCTCCAACCCATGAAGAGTGGTCCAGTACAATCTCAAATGGAATAAAGCGTTCGATACATTTTATAGGATGCAAAAAAGACAGAAATCTCGTGTTGCCAAAAACGGGAAGGCACCGCTTTTTTTTCCTAAATTAACAAATTGTAAGCGCCAGGGAACCAGTTAAATTCACGATTAACAGTGATGTGTGAAGGAAACTGCAACCACCGACAAACCGACATGAAACTTAAACTTAACTTTCGCTCGAAAATCTATAACGGTCGATTCAAATGTGCAGCGATCCCATCTGTCAAAACCATAGAAACTCTTCATCTAGATAAAAATAACTTGTCCAGAATAGATCACTCGTGCTCGTGGATTAGAGAAACGTTTTCCGCGAACACGGAGACAGATGTCGGTAGTGTGCTTTGAGCAGAAATTTCGTGTTAATTTCTACATGGTCATTCCTGTCGGTTTGTCGGTGCTGCAACATGCCATCTCGATATTAATCTACAAACAAGGCTTGCTTAATCGCTTAAAGTTGTGCAAAGTTGATAATATGATAAAGTTGTTATCATGAAGTTGCAGCAAATTTGCTCGATTAACTTCATGATATGAGAAGATGTTTTAAGAAGCAGTTTTGCTACATCTTGCACATGAAACACTTGCCTTTAATCCCTTTATGATTTTTTCCCTTAAGTACAATTTGAGACCCAGCTCCACAAAAAAAAAAAATATTCCGGATAATACGCTTAACAAAACACTAATTCACGGCCAGATTCCCACAGGGTGGGAAATCTTAAAACCAACGCTTTCACTTCAAAAATCAGTAGTTTAATTTCATCGCAATTGCAATACTTAAACTTCATTGAGAAGATAATTTTCTAAGTCAACCAGATTTACAATGAAGAACTAAAATACTGAAAGACCCGACTATATGCTGTCGAGGCAATGTTAATCTACGTTTCTTGAATCATTATTCAATCATAAAAGTGTTATTCCAATGCCATTATCGTAAATTCTCATTTAGTTTATTTTCTGAGCTAGTCAGGCTGTTAAAAACACAATAAGGAACAAGAACTACAAGTGATCAGAAAAAAATCATCTTCTTCTCTTAACTCTTTACCAGTCTTGAATTTGTTAAAAAGCGCTCCAATGCGCCCAAAGGATCTAGGGGAAAAGTTGGCTTCGGCAATTCCTTAACACTCCGAATACGGTGGGTAAAAAACTTTACGCCGACTACGAAGCCTCCGAAAAACGTGTAACGGCAAGTTTGCAATGGCATAACTTAGCAATTTCTTAATGAATTTCAAAAATTGTGGTACCGTTAAAATTCCTAGGATTTGTAGATGATTTTGATTGTAAAAATATTGAAAATAGAGTCGTCTACTTTTTTAAAAAGCGAAAAGAGTTGTTACACGTTTTTTTTAAAGGTGTGTTTGTAGAGTTTTCCAAGTGGCGCAAGATCTTTAATTTAGATTAATGGTCAGAAATGGTCACAATTAGCCAGAATACAGTCATGGTTCCTATATATGGATCCTGGAGACAACGGAACGGTCCTTGAAAAATACGGAACCTCCGTAAAAGTGGTCAATCCATGAACCTGATGCTAGAGCTGTTCGATTTTTTTTTGAAAACATTAGGAACTGTGTTATAAAAAAAAAACATTTAAGCCGGCGCCTGTGGTGTAGTGGTAAGCGTGACTGCTTTCTCACCCCAATGGGTCTGGGTTCAATCTCAGTCGAGGTCGGTGGGATTTTTCTGAGGCATAAAAATCTCTGGTCACGTCTTCCTTCGGAAGGGAAGTAAAGCCGTTGGTCCCGGCCCTTGTGTGTTGAATGAGTGCGATATCCTACGCTGGTGTGGAAGCTGCTTTCCTGCACATTCGATTGCCGTCATTAGATGACAATCGATGTCCGTCGGTGATTGGCACTAGATTGCGGAACAGAGACCGACGTTAAATAAATGAAAGAATAAAAAAATATTTGGGGTCGTGATATAAATATGTACCTGGATGGCCATGAGACCGTCCTCCGGAAAATCCGGAATATACTAGAGCTCCGCAGTTTTTGAAAAACAATAAGAACTGAGATGATGGAATGAATTTGGGGTCGTGACATAAACATGGACCTTGATGGCCATGAAACCGTCCTCTGAAAGATGAGTTGGAGGCGAACCAGCCTAAGGCTGAAAGCCTCCTAAATAAAGCTAAATAATAATAATAATCCTCTGAAAGATCCGGAACATCCGTGAAAGTGAAAAATTCACGCAACTGCTCCTAGAGCTCCGTGGTTTTCTTAAAAACGTTATGAACTGTGATATTAGAATGAATTTGGGATCGTGATCTAAACATGGACCCAGATGGCCATCGCACCGTCCTCCGGAAGATCCGAAAAATCCGCAAAAGTGGTCAACTGTGGAA